AAAGAGTGAATTCACGACCTTCGATGTAGTGTTGAAAATGCCGTACAGCACAATACATAGCTAGGAGTTCCCTACCGTATGTGCTGTACCTCGATTCGGTGCCTAGCAACCGTCTAGAGAAAAATGCCAAGGGTTGCCAGGAGTTGTTAACCCATTGTTGTAAGACTCCTCCGATTGCCGAGTCGGATGCGTCTACTGCGATGCTAATGGGTGCTCGGGTGTCCTGATGTGCGAGCATTGTTGCTTTAGCAATCAGTTCCTTAACTGTGGAGAATGCTTTTCGTGCGGTGTCGTCCAAATTAATGGATTTCGCATTTCCACGAAGTTGGTCGGTCAGAGGTTTCATGAGTAATGCGCATTTCGGTATGAAACGTCTATAGAAACTTACGAGGCCGTTAAACGTGCGTAATTGCTTGACGGTGGTCGGTTCTGGGTAATCCAGAATGGCCGCCACTTTGGTCCTAAGAGGTCGAATGCCTTGAGCATCGATAGTGTGTCCTAGGAAGTCTAACGAGTCGGTTCCGAATTGACATTTCTGAACGTTTACAGTAATGCCATGTTTTTGTAGTCGTTCGAAAACAAGATCCAGATGCTTGAGATGTGATTCTCTGTCCGGACTTGCGATTAGACAGTCATCAACATACGCGTGTACGAAGTTGAGACCTCGAAAAACGTCGTCTATGAATCTTTGGAATGTTTGAGCAGCATTCCTTAGACCGAAAGGCATTCGCAAAAATTCATAGAGTCCGAAAGGAGTTATGATAGCTGTTTTCGGTATGTCGTCAGTAGCCATAGGGATTTGGTTATACGCTTTAACCAAGTCGATTTTCGAAAAGACAGTTGTACCTTTCAAGGTAGCTGTCAAATCGTGAATGTGAGGCAACGGGTAACGATCGGGAATGGTTTTCGCGTTCAATCGCCGAAGTCACCAGTTGGACGCCAATCGTTGCTGTCCTTTTTAGGGACCATGTGCAACGGAGATGCATGTGGGCTACTTCACGGTCGTATGATTCCTAAGTCCATCATGTGATCGAATTCGTTTTTCGCTAACCTTAGCTTTTCGGGGGCTAGTCGTCGTGCTTTAGAGAATACAGGTGGTCCTGTAGTCGTGATGTGATGTGTAACATTACTGGTTACACACGGTAGTTTCGGTTGAGTTTGTTGTATCCCAGGGTACTTATCGAGTAGTGGCTGATAAAGTGGGTCTATCATATGCTTAACTGTGACTGGGGATAACCTACAACCAGTGAAAGAAGTTACGCAAACGGACAAATTAGTGTTTCCGTCTACTAGCCTCCGTTTGCGCGTGTCGATGATAAGATTATGGTGTTGTAGAAGGTCCATACCAATGATTGGCATAGAAACATCTGCAACAACGAAAATCCAATGGATGGGTTTGCGTAAACCACGTTAAGGTAAACGTACCTTTTGCCATACGTAGCGATCGGTTTTCCGTTTGCCGCCTGTAAGTTTAGGGTCGATTCGTGAAGTCGGTCGTTAGGATTCGCTGGGAGAACGCTAACTTCTGCGCCAGTGTCGACGAGGTAGCGAACTCTCGTTGTCACATCTGTGACGAATAACAGATGGCTATCTTCGCCGGCTACGGTTGCCGTTAACACGTGCCGGCTTGGAAGTTTCCCGAATTGCTTTTCGAATCAGTCGGTTTCGTGTTGGGAAAATTGCAGGGTTTTCTGCAATTTCTGGAAAACTTTCCATACTGGTTATGATACCAGCACCAGTCTGGGTTATCTGTCCCTCGTGGTCTAGAGACAGATCGCTTACGAGAAATGCTTCCACGTGGTGTGCGCGATCTCTTACGGTCGGTACGAAGACTAAGATAACGCGTGAGTGTGTGACATAAGTCGGTTATATCATTCTGAGTCGTGTGAGGCTTTTCTTTGACTGAGAATACCTCGGTAGTAGAAGGTTTCGTAATTTCTAAAATGCGGTCGGCAGATGCAGCTAGCTTGTCTAAGGCGTTGTTCTGGAACGAGACCAGAACTGCTTGCACCTGTTGGGGAAGTTTTGACAAGAAGAGTTGTTTGAATAGACCTTCGTCGAAAGTTCTTGGGCCTATTACCTCTCTCATCCGTTGCAACATGTCCGTCGCAGAACCGTGTTGCAGGTCGATGTTATTGAAGAGTTGATCTAACCTTGGTCGATCGGTTAGATCTCCTCGTTTAAGAATCGAGCGTTTTAAGATTTCGTAAGGATCGGAAACATCACTAGTAAACATACTAGGCGTTACGTACCTGTTGAATTCGCGCGGTAGTGCCTTGACTACTGCGAGGAATTGTGCACGTGTGTCGATCACGCCGTGCTCGGAGAAGTCGGCTTCTGCGTAGCAAAACCAGGCTTCGATGTTGTCGGGCCAGAAAGGCATCAGTTGAAACGAAGGCAGGGACAAAGTCTTAAGCTTGAGTACTTTAGGTGTCTGTTCAGTCATGATGAAGTATGAAGTACGATAATGAACGAGGGAAAAATATATATATATCCAAAAAAAACACGAAAAAAAATCACAATGTTTAAAAAAAAAATAAAAAAATAAGGCAATGATATATAAAAATCCCAAAAAGGAACAGACTCACTCTCTGATCTAATCTGGCTAGCGATTGCGGTTGATGTTGAGCATGGCGTTACCACACGTGATCTGGTGCGGATGCATGACCGAGCGCCTTCAGCTAGATGAGTCCACTAAAACATATGGTCAGCATCCAATGTCGAAAACTTAGGGCTATTTATTTTGGGGATTTATTTACCGCTACACAATTTAAACCCATTATGCAATTATGCTTTTTAAATATCACAGGTTGTAAGCAGCTGACGAGAACCTACGAAATAAAATGAATTTATGCTATTTTGGTAGAATCTTTGTTCTTGTTCTTTCCAAAATGATAAGAGGAGCTATGTGTATGAAAAGAAAATGAAGACACGAAAACAGATAATTTAGTATTTTCTAACCTTCGTTTGAGCGTGTCAATCAGTAGATTACGATGCTGTAGCAGGTCTATACCAACGATTGGCATAGAAACATCTGCGACAACAAAAATACAATCAATAGTTTTCCGTCAATTCACATTCAGATAAATATGCCGCTTACCATATGTGGTGATCAGTTTCCCATTTGCTTCCTGTCAGTTGCGATCCGGTTTAGGCGGATAGTCGTCAGAAATTTCTGGGAGGACGTTAACTTCTGCAGCAGTATCATCGAGACAGTGAATTTTCGCTATCACATCAGTGATGTACAACGGATGGCTAGTTTCTCCGGCCACGGTTGTTGTAAACGTGTGCCGGCCTGGAAGTTTCCCGAAGCCTTGTTAGTGCCGGTTGGTTCGGAGATCAGGAAACTGCAGGGTTTTCTACACTTCGGAGATTAACCATACTTATTGTGATGCAAGCACCAATCAGGTTTGTTCGTCTCTCGCGACCTAGAGGCCGATCGCTTCTTTGAAAAACCACTGCGAGAGGTTCGTGAGGGTCTACAATCATGGTAAATACTAAGGTAACGTGTCAGAGTATTACAGAGGCCAGTAACGTCATGTCGTGTCATTTGAGGCTTTTCTTTAACGGAATAAACCTCGGACCTAGGAGTTCCAGTGACCTTGAGGAGCTGGTTAGCAGATGTGGGTAATGCATCTAGAGTTATTTTGAAGTGATACAAGCGCTGCATGTTCCGGTTGGGGAGGTTTAAACAATAAGTGCTGTCTAAACGGGTCTTCGTCGAAAGTCCGCTGACAAATGACCTCAGCAGTGCGCATCCACGATCCCGCGAGCGAGATTCGAACCCAGGGCCTTCGGTCTCGCGCGCGAATGCTTAACCAACTGGACCACTGAGCCGGCATCCAATGGTGATAGTTTCTAACATCAACCAATCCACGAAATTGCGCGACCAACTTCCATTGTACTTAAGTAGATAACTGTCTCTACCCGACAAGGATTAGCTCCACTGGTCACGGCTTCTCACTAGAACTTCGAGAATTCCCTCACGAAGCTAGTCACTTAATAATCTCCACAACCCCTATACTATCGAATTTTGGCAACATTTTACTGCTGAGCCATATTGTAGTTCGGTGTATTGGGAGAGTTGGACTTAAATTTGTCGGTCGGTTAGGTCTCCACGTTTAAGGATAGCTCCTTTCAAATATTCATAAGGATCAGGAACATTGTTATTAGACATGTTAGATGTGCCGTACCTATTAAAATCGCGCGTTAGTGCTTCCACTGCTGCGAGAAACGGTGCACGTAGGTCTGTCATGAAGTGCTCATCGAAGTCAGCTTCTGCGTGGCAGAACCAAGTTTCTATATTGTTGGGCCAGAATAGCGTTAACTGAATTGAGGGAGGAGAAAGAGTCTTAATGTTAAATAACTTAGGAGCCTGTTCCTCCATGAATAATATAAAGTATACCAATGAACGAGAAAAAAATATTCGAAAATATGAAAACAATATAACAGTATGTAAAAATAAAAATTAAGATATGGAGTATGATGCTTCAATAAGGGACAGACACACAGTTACCGGATTAGTGTACCAAATCACGTCGGGCTCAACACTACAGATGCCACAAGCATTCGGGGTTTGACAACGCCTTTGCACGTAACACCTTTATAATCGAAGTATGTCAACTCAGCCAAATCAGAAAGCACAACTGAAGGGGATCAAGGTTATATTTAAAAGGCTATCGATATCTCGAGGATCGTTTGAACTAAGCAGACTAACAGTTGCAGGAAAAGCATAAAACGGCGTTATTTGGAGCAAATACGTGACCGGGAGCCTTTAGTTAGGTGAATCCAGTAAAACTGATGAGGTCATCATCAATATCGAAGAAATAAGGAACTATTTATTTTGTGGATATTTTTAACCGCTGAACTCAGAACCTACTACCGAAAGAGTGCCCTCCTCACATTCATCAGGAAATTAAACAATCGCAGAATCTTATCAGCGAAGATATAGCACAGACCGTCATAATCCTGTCCTAATTCGCAGATCGGAATCTACAACTAATTGGAATACTTTGACAGTTTCGATTGCGGTTAATTTGGATTTGACACACTTCGAGTTCGTAACCGCAGTTTCTGACTCTAGATTCTAATTCTTATTCTTTATATTAACTTACAATAATATCTTGACCCCAGTAAATAGGTAAGTTGCCTCAAAGTCACTTTAGCGTCGTTTGAAGGTTATCTATACATTCTAATCAAGTTAACTTCTCCAAGACTAGGTTCACTTCGAAATTATAATCCATGTTAATGCCATTTGAAGGGAACGGTCTTTCACATAAACGAACTCAAATCATTGTCTTCACGCTTGGATCATTACTCAGGATTGTTTGTAGACATTTCGTAGGGACCCATGTGTTTGTGATAACATTCTTAGCTTGTTAAATTGGTAAAATATTGCTTAGTAATTGGTATAGTCTATGATCTTGCACTAGACTTACAACTATTATAATGATAGATATGTCTATCATTCTGCTGCCGCTTTAGAATGTGACAATTGCGTTTTTCAGCAGAAATGTCTCTCAACTTTACCCTATTGATCATTTGTTTCAATAGGTTTGCGTTACTACTTGTCATTTTCAGAGCAGTTTTTCTGCAGGTAATTTGTTAAAACAAAGCTACCAAAGTCTCTCAAAAATCACTTAGATTACTGTAGGTCCCCCAATGCCCTGGTATGGCCGAGAGTTGGGAGTCAACTCTTCTCAAAATACTCTCACACGGCCACGCGTATACAGCCTCTGCCAGGGAAGTCCTACTCACTGCCTTCTCGTGGTGGGGATGTTTTTTACGAAAATGAGAGGACGGAAAGCGAATGTCCGGAGCTTTAACCGGATCCCATACCAATGGTGCATATGGGCTCCAGTATCCTGCAGGGACAAATGGCGTATGAACCAATTTTCGGTCCCTGGCTACCATGGGACTGCATCTCCTTACGATGCTCCACTGCCTTGTGGGTTAGACCTTTAGGTCAAAGGCTCGGGGAGTGGCCCCCTAAGATGACCACCTGCTTCGGTCTGGGCACCCGGGCAGTATTACAGCCCGCACACACAAATAGTGTGGCGCGTATATATTTGGTGCCCTCTTATACCAATATTTATGTGTTGAAATAAAATAAAAATAATAAAAGATACACTAGCACATATACTCAATTTTTATTAACTCGTTCAAGAGGTATTTGGCTACAAGCCGGACCGTGTGAGGGCTAGCAATACTAACTGGTCTCATGGACCTAAGTTGTTACTAACGCGTTCAAGCCGCCGCTTCGAAAACTGAATTTTCAGTTTTTTTACAGTTTGGAGCTACAAAGATTTCAATTCCTCGTCCCCTCGAAATTTAACCTATAAGCCTCTACTTAGAAACTTCAGTCTCCAGTAAATTTGCTCTCACGAAGCCAAAAATTAGTTGTTGACGAACCACACTCTCATTAGTAGTCGTTATATAAATTATTTGTTTCAATAGCAAATGTTTATCATCGAATTGATGTTTTTGAAACCTGATATCCATGCATATGACCGAAAACAATAATTGTCACAAGTAGCTCTATGATCTCAATTAACGATTTATCGCTAAGTAACCATCATGGATCTGAATATATCGGTTTATTTGGTGTATACTCCACCAAACCATATCTCTAACAAACTACGTGTCAAATTGTATTAATTAGGTTCTCTTAGTGTTCGATTATCGTTAACTTCCATATCCTGATATTACAGCGGTTAATATAAGGCCCATTTTCTCCACAAAGCCGTTTGAGTTGCTTGTTGACAGGTCGCTTCTCATTACTCATATCTTGCAACATTTTGTCAACATACCTGATAGTTTTTATTCCAATACATGGAAGATTTACAGCAGCTCAATTTATATAATTCCTGTGTTTCCAAGTTAAATTATTTTTCAAAAGGTTCATTGTTTAATTGTATTACGTTTTTAAGGAGAATCGTAATGAACCAACAGATCTCAGTGCTAAACGGCTTTTTTGCCCTAATGCAACACTATGTAAATTAATATATCAATGAGATTTTTGACTGCTTAGTTAGGTACATAATGCTTTTGTTTTGTTCACTTAGCAAGGAATATGACTGACTTCATTGAAGCGGTATCCAATCCATTGGCACCTGATGTGTTTGTGGGTCATGGTGACTTTACGAATCAAAAACTATCTAATAGTGATTTTCGAAAATTGTTAATGACACCTAAGCCATCAGTACAACCTTCAAAAATTGATGAAGTACATGAAACTGGGACCCGGATTTCTACTCACCATTTGGAAAGATCCGATCGTATACGCCAAGATCCTAGTCAAACTATTCATCGTAGTAAACATAAGATAAGTCACAAGCGTCATCATGTTCGTAGCAAAAAAGATGCTCAAAAATCAGATGTTTCTGAATCAACACATCGTTATCGAGATCGTGCAAAAGAACGACGTGACGGCAAACTAGTTGCTCCAACTGAGGAAGTTGAGGAAGAACGTGAAATGGAAAATGATGATGATACTTTAACTCGTACAGCCGACTATCGTGCTGTTGCACCATCGTCTGCTGCTGGTGCTTCACATGCTGAACGTCGTCGGATGCTTATACAGGAATCTAAGTATCTTGGTGGTGATATGGAACATACTCACTTGGTCAAAGGTCTTGATTATGTTCTATTACAAAAAGTCCGTTTGGAAATACAAAATAAAGAAATTGAAGCCGAACAAGCCCTGGATATTGAATTAAACAAACCTGATAAAATGAAAGAAAGTACTAATAATGAAGAAAGCATACAGTTTCGTACTCATCTAGCGGCAAGTATATGCAATGTTATTTTCAATGAACGTCTCGCAGAACGTAATGAATATTTTCAACCTGGTCGCATGGCTTATCGTATTGAACTGGAAGATGATTCAGTGGATTTTGAAGTACCAGCTACAGTGATTCGTAGCAAATCTGATTGTTTACAAATTGATGGTCGTGGAACTGGTGCAATAACTACTAACGAAATTGTTATTAATAAACTTACTCAAATCTTATCATATTTGCGGGCTGGCAAACGACATGCAAAGAAGACTAAGCTTAAAGGACGTGTTGCTGACAAATCTGAATTTGATTATGAAGACAATCGACATCTTATTCATAAAATGGCTAGTAAGTTTATTGTTATTAGTTGGTAAGGTTTTTTTTCACTACGAATGTGATCCACTGTATTACTAACTAGAGGATGTTACGTTTGAGGATATTAATCATTTCTGAAACAAACGAATAATGTAAACCATTCTACCAGGCATTAATTCCAACTCAATTTTATTAAATTCAGAACAGTTTAATTCATTTACCAAGTACATTTTCCTATATTCGACCTCAAGCCATATTATATGAAGACTATTTACTCAACTCCCCGAAACAGATTTAATGGAGTGAGGTCCGAATTTGTGACCAGCTATGTGAATTAATCAGAACTAAACCACCACTCCAGTTGGTAACCACTAAGCTAAATAATTTGCAAATACTTTCTTGGGTGACTGATGACACTCGATAGAAAAACGTTGTGGTTATGGACAATTATTGGACAAGTATGTATCAAACCTACAATAATATCATGCTTTCATTATCCTGCTTTACGGTTAAAGGTGGTAATTGTGATCTGAAGTTTTGACTGATTCTCTGTAGGAGTTGATTGTGTTAGTGAATTAATCATCAACGGCAGATTACTACAGTAGTCGGATCACAGTTACTGACTTAACTTTATCAATCAGGTTACTTACTTCAAACCTGAGCATATGAATGTTATGGGTTCGAACCCCATCCCGCCTCACCACTAACATTCACATCTAAAATATACCTCAAAGACAAGTGCGTGAATATGTACCTCGTAAATGACTCACTTAATATTCTCCTTGTTTGTGTATCGTGTAGTCTTCGTGACTATTAGAGACCCATTGGAATTTACCGTGTTTTTTTTTAAATTTAAATTTTCTTAGGTAATATCTATACAATTGAATGGCTTAGATTTCTATAACTCGATAGGTTATGACGAGCTTTTGCAATCAATTTTGAGTCATACACTTTTTGGTTGTTCAAACTAAATTAGCTGGAAATCTAGCGTGCAACCTAATAAGAAAGTGTTTACTGATTCACCCACCCAGACTGCTGCTTCACAAAAACTTTAGTAGTTATCCATATTACCCATATCAACCAGCTCTTCGTTCCCTCTCTTTAAACTCGATTTGTGTATACAGGTACACACTACTAATGAATTTGACCGTGAGTGACATCTACACTAAGCGTTTCATATATGAATCCGCTTGTTCTTGGCTAAGATGCTTCTTATAAAGTCACCGTTTTTAATAGTTCAAATGTTATAAAAAACAACTAAAGAACAGTTAAAAGGTAATTAAAGCGAAGAAATATCTTTATAGTTATTTTTCCACCCAGACTGCTAATAAGTATGTTTTGCAATAATGATAAAAAAGACCAATTAAGTAGTAGTGATACATTTTAGCTAGAGATGGATGGTAGCTAGCAGCGGAATTCAGGACGAGCATTTCATCATATTCTGGGACTCGTCAGCTGAATGTACTTGTATCACAGAGTTAATGTTCACTTCAGGAGTGGAACCCAGTACCGTTCGCTTCAAACACCATCGCATTATCCACTTAACTACGGAGTCCAGATACCCAGATAGGTAGTTTGAACCAAACAGAAAGGCATTTAGGTGGGTATTTTAGTATACCGGTACAGCGAACAGATAATGGTGATCGTCTGCTGCAACTATGCTCAGACAATCGTTTATTTTTAGCAAACACAAATTTTAAGCATAAGGAAAGACATCATCTAACATGGCGACCCCCTGCACCAAACCAACGATGGACTCAAATAGACCATATTGCCATCAGTCATAGTTGGAGAGGGTCGGTAGAAGATTGTCGCTCATTCTGGAGTACCTGCTTGGACTCCGACCATGCTTTATTACGAGCACGCATCTGCTTGCGCCTCACTGTACGCAAAAAAGCAACACTAAAAAGACCAATTAAAACTGAGTTGAGTAACGAGAAAACCAAAAGTAGGTTCCAGGAACAACTGAGGTCACACTTAGGTAGTTCTGAAAACGAGGCTTACCCAGATGTTGCTTGGAAAGATATACAAACAGCTGTGGAAACAGCAATGAAGTCTATTAGTGACTTAAACCACAGAGTTACAAAGAACCAGTGGATTTCTTCAAAGTCTATCACACTGATGGATTCTCGAAAACTCGTCCCATCAGGTTCCGAACATGATGAAGAGCGAAAACAAATCAGATCTAGGTTAAGAAAAAGTCTAAGAAACGACCGTGAGCGGTGGTGGGCAACGAAAGCACAAGAGATGGAAAAGGCGGCGACTATAGGGAACACAAGACAGCTTTATAGACTAATAAAAGAAACTGGAACTAATAAGTCAAGTGTAAGTGAGATTATTTCGGAAAAAGACGATACTGTCATCTACTCCCAGTCCGGATGTTTAGAACGATGGGCGGAACACTTTAGGGAACAGTTCAGCTGGCCTTCAGCTACTCTACAACTACCCTCCATTCCCAGACAGTGTGAATGGAACATTGAAGTAGGTCCCCCAACTCTTGCTGAAGTCGAGAAAGCTATAGTTAATCTGAGACGAGGAAGGGCAGCTGGTCCAGATGGGTTGGCTCCAGAAGTCTTTAAGGATGGTGGTCCAATTTTAGCGACTAGGTTGACTAATATTTTAGCTAAGATCTGGGAGTTAGACGTTGTTCCATCTGACTGGTCTCAATCACTTATCGTCCCAACATATAAGAAAGGGTCAAAATCATCTTGTGACAACCACAAATCGTCGAAGAACCTCTCGTTTATTTTGTGACCACCGAGAAAGCATTGCCGAGGTTAGGGATAAAGTACTAGGTAACAATTGCAAACCTGTTGATGATATGGTAAATCTTCATCAACTGAGGTAGTTGGAACATGTGTTACGTTTGTCCAGCCACTTCCCACCTCATCAGGTGACGTTGTCAGGTGTAGTAGGCTGAAACAAAGTTAGGGGCGACTGAACCAAGACATGAAACCAGTCCATAACTTACTTACTTACGCCTGTTACTCCTCGTGAAGGAGCATTGGCCGCTCACCAGCGTTCTCCATCCAACCCTGTCCTGGGCAATCCTTTCTAGCTCCGTCCAGTTGTAATTCATCCTTTTCATATCTGCTTCTATTATCCGATGCAATGTGTTCTTTGGCCTTCCTCTTTTCCGCTTCCCTTCAGGATTCCAAGTTAGGGCTTGCTTCGTGATGCAGTTTGACGATTTGCGTAATGTATGTCCTATCCATTTCCATCGTCTTTTCCTAATTTCTTCTTCAGTTGGAAGTTGGTTTGTTCTCTCCCACAGAAGGCTATTGCTGATGGTATCCGGCCAATGGATGTTGAGTATCTTGCGTAGACAGCTATTTATAAATACTTGTACTTTCTTGATTGTGGTTGTTGTAGTTCTCCAAGTTTCAGCTCCATACAGTAGAACTGCCTTGACGTTCGTATTGAAGATTCTCACTTTGATATTGGTTGAAAGTTGTTTTGAGTTCCATATGTTCTTCAATTGTAGGAATGCGACCCTTGCTTTGCCGATCCTCGCGTTTACGTCTGCATCGGATCCTCCTTGTTCATCGATGATGCTTCCTAGGTATGTGAAGGACTCTACATCTTCCAGAGTTTCGCCATCAAGTGTGATTGGATTGCTGTTCTCCGCTTTGAATTTGAGGACCTTAGTTTTCCCTTTGTGTATGCTGAGGCCTATTGATGCAGAGACTGTTGCTACACTGGCTGTCTTCATCTGCATCTGTTCGTGTGTACGTGATAGGAGGGCTAGGTCATCTGCGAAGTCCAAATCGTCTAATTGATTCTGAGCTGTCCATTGCATTCCGTGTTTTCCCTCAGAAGTCGAGGTCTTCATAATCCAGTTGACCACCAGAAGAAAGAGGAAGGGAGAGAGTAAACAGCCTTGTCTGACTCCGGTCCTTACTTGGAATGCATCTGTCAGCTGTCCTCCATGCACTACTTTGCACCGTAGTCCGTCGTATGGGTTCCGGATAATATTGACAATCTTCTCAGGAACTCCGTAGTGTCGAAGAAGTTTCCATAACGTCCTCCTATCTACACTGTCTAATGCCTTTTCATAATCAATGAAGTTGATGTATAATGATGAGTTCCACTCAACTGATTGTTCGACGATGATCCGTTGTGTTGCAATTTGGTCTGTGCACGACCGATCCTTGCAGAATCCAGCTTGTTGATCTCGAAGTTGGGCGTCTACTGTGTCTTTCATCCGGTTCAGCAAAACTCTGTTGAAGACTTTCCCTGGTATTGACAGTAGTGTAATGCCTCTGTAGTTTTCACACTTGCCCAGATCTCCTTTCTTTGGAATCTTGACGAGGTGTCCTTCTTTCCAGTCGGTCGGCATTTGTTCCTCCTCCCAAATCCTTTTGAATAGAAGATAAAGCATGCTTGTGGTTGTTTCGATGTCTGATTTCAGTGCTTCAGCTGGTATGTTGTCGGGTCCTGCTGCTTTCCCGTTCTTGATTTGTCTGACGGCCATTCTAATTTCTTCCGTAGTTGGTGGATTGACATCTATAGGAAGATCTATGTGTGCTGCTTCGATGTCCGGTGGATTCATTGGAGCCGGCCTATTCAGGAGTTCCTCGAAGTATTCTACCCATCTGTTACGCTGTTGTTGAATTTCGGTGATTAGCTTGCCTTCTTTGTCTTTGACCGGCCTCTCTGGTTTACTGTATTTCCCTGCTAGTTTCTTCGTTGTATCGTGAAGCTGTTTCATATTTCCTTCTCTAGCAGCTTTTTCTGCCGTCGTTGCTAGTTCTTCCACGTATTTCTTCTTGTCGGCTCTAATGCTCCTCTTCACTTGTTTGTTTGCTTCTATGTATTCAGCTTGTGCTTGTACTTTCTCTGCTCGTGTTCGGCTGTTGTTTATTGCTGCCTTCTTGTTCTTCCTTTCTTTGATCTTGTCCAGTGTTTCTGTAGAGATCCATTCCTTATGATGGTATTTCTTTAGACAGAGAACCTCTTGACACGTTGAAGTTAATGCTTCTTTGATGCCTTTCCAGTTGTCCTCCATAGTAGTTTCTTCTTCTTTCAGTAGATCTCGTAAGGCTTGGAACCTGTTGTTGAGAGCTATCTTGAATTCATTGAGTTTGACAGTATCTCGAAGGAAGGCTGTATTGAACCTTTGTATTGCTGTTTGTCCACTTGTCCAGTTCTTTTTTAGCTTCAGTTTTAAATTGCCTTCGGAATTTTTTGTTGATGCAAATATGATCTACTTGGTTCTCTGTAGTGTGATCCGGTGAGATCCATGTAGCCTTGTGTATACGCTTGTGTGGAAATGTTGTGCCTCCTATGACCAATTTGTTGAATGCACATAGATTTGCAAATCTTTCTCCATTTTCGTTTCTTTCTCCCAGTCCATGTCGTCCCATAATATCTTCATATCCAGTGTTGTCTATTCCGACTTTGGCATTTAGATCTCCCATCAGAATAGTTAGGTCCTTTCTTGGGCATTTCTCAATGATTGACTGCAGCCGCTCGTAGAATTGATCTTTAATTTCGTCGTTGCTATCATTGGTGGGTGCATAACATTGGATAATATTCATTAAGATCCCCTCCTTCTTTGTTTTGAATGATGCTTTGATGATTCTGGATCCGTGAGATTCCCATCCTACAAGTGCATTTCGTGCTACTTTGGACAGCGTAAGAGCGACTCCTTGAGTGTGTGCAGCATTGTCCTCTTCGTGACCGGAGTATAGCAGCATCTCTCCCGTAGCTAGCCTTTTCTGTCCAGCTTGGGTCCAGTGGGTTTCGCTGATTCCCAGTACTGCTAAGTTGTATCTCCTCATTTCCATTGATATTTGACTGGTCTTCCCGGTTTCCCACATTGTTCGAACGTTCCATGTACCTATAAAAATTTTTGCTCTGGTTGTTAGAAGGGGCATCGGCCTCGTGACTTCCGAAGGAACTCGGCTTTCACCATGAAGCGTCATAATTCTTCTAAATGAAGACCTTCTAACTCCCAGGGCAGAGTTAAAATGGTTTGGATTATTTTTTCTGGTAAGCGTTTTTTTAGCGAGTTAGTTTTCTACGGGATGGGGACGCTAACCCCATGCCCAACCCTCCTCCTTTACCCGGGCTTGGGACCGGCAGTAACCCTATAAGAGCTACAGGCGGAGTTCAGTCCATAACATCTCGGAAAATTTAACTGAGCCACGTAGATAGCTGTAGACTACTATAATGATAATAATTATTATTATTACCAAAAAATCAAAGGAAAAATAATATATTGTATCGGTGTATTTGTGTGTTGTGTTGAATTTACCTGATTCGCATATATATTCTATGTTGGTTACCGTGCACATTATTGACTGAGATTCTTTAATACGAAATATGAATGTTAGCGAATTATCTTGATAGGAAGCTAATTTAATAACAGCTACACAATAATTTTTAGACGAATATAAAATTTATGTAAGAACACAGAAATTGGAGGAATTCAAAAGTTTTTTGGAGATATTTTTACACAAATTGTGGTGAAATCAGTGTGTTGTTTTAATTCACTCTAGTTTTTTGCCATGAATTGTACAATTTACCACGATAAAGCAATTTCAGTCATTCAAAGTAAGATATATGATCAATAATTTTAAAAGAAGTATCCATTTTCTTAATACCGAAGAAATACATTCAAAGGTAAACTTGATACACCGTCTAATCTACCGTCAAAATGCATAACAAAAACCCGTCATGTATGTTTGGTAAATATGAAGCAACGATCATTTAGTAGTCATGGTACTCTGGTTCCAGTCAGTTACACATCATCATTCCGAACTACGCTCCGTGCACTTCGGTCCGACCAAATAATGGATAGTATCTACGCAAAAGCTGCGACTAGTGGTTCAGTACTTGGGATGATATAGGTCAGAATTGTTCACAGTAACGCAGGTGTATTCACTCGTCTCCTTTTACATGTTAAGTTTCCTAATTATCTCTTTAAAAGATCATTCAACGAATCCATATTTTCTCTTGAATCTTGTCTTCTATTCCTAATCTTTTCCACTACCATTGTTACTGCTACTAATTGTAGTAATCTGGTATCTCTATTCTGATATAGTGCAGCAACTTGAACTGATGCATATATATACCCAGTTCTGCGTTGCGTATGATTGACTGGGTAGCAATAGCAAACCTTACATAAAATAGTCTGTGGCTAGCAAAACGAAGTTCATGAACTTGTATATCACACATATGAGTACTAATCATTACTAGTATATTATCATAAGAGGACGAAAATTACCGGAACTATGCTGTAAGTTGGCACAATACATTTCGGACAATGTGACCACACATATACTTGTTATGAACAATTATACATGAAAATAAATAGTCAACTAGACAACTGGATAATCTTCGCCTTATTACACCATCTAAGTTTATCAAATGGACTAATTCCTGTTAATTTGAAATATTTGTATTTGGAGTCAATTACAATCAAATTACATTTACCCAATTAATCTACAGATCAGATATTTAATCGCATCGTTTTCCTGTCTTTTAATATAAACTGACACGAAAGTTTAGTAATGCATTTGTTGAAATTCACTTTAATCACGTTGTTCCAAAGTATTATATATCATTAGTATAAAGGGATTGTGGAGATTGTTAATTTCATAGTTTGCATTATAGCACCTGTCCTACAATTGGGTTTGTTTACGGGTAATTTTATCTACTACTTCAATTAATTCATTCAACAGACAGTGTTATTCGAACGGTAACAATTTGTCAATTCCTTTTTATTATTATTATTATCATGTCTATATAAACATGTATGCTTGATTACGTATAACGGCCTACGCGCATAGTCCTCACTACACCTTAAATAGTAGTTGCTTAAAAGTCGCTCGATGAATCACTTGCTTTCCCACATATATATGTGCTTGAATCTTATTAATTGATTCACTTCGTTTCGATTTGACTCGGAATCCGCCTATGTATTCGCTTGTTTGTGCTCACCAGCCTTTCTGCTCAAATTCACTTTGTTTGCATTATGATCTGTGCTATCCAATAATAAACTGTAGTCGGCGCTTCGTGTTGCCTTCTGAATTTGTACACTATCGGGATATACTTAATAAAGTTTATCAGGGTGATTGATAAACTAGGCTTGATGAATTATTTCTAAGCCAATCCACTACGATATTACGGACTGAGCATAGCTAAATGATCATAGACCAAGTGGCACTGAATATCTGTTTCGGCCTAGTATGGAACTTCTCAGTAATGTACATTCGCGACCCCATCAGTGATTGAGCTTTAAGACCTTCAGGTCTCGCCCAAACCACTGAGCCGGCAACCAATTCGTGATATTAGGCGGTGTATAACTATCACTCACATCCGACATAGTTGTGCTCCACTATTATCGGCTTCTGAGTTCGATTCTCAGTGGGGTCATTAACGCACACTAATGGGGAGTGCCACACCTTGTCCTTTGTCTCCTGGTTTTCAATGGTTGTTCAACTAATATCAACCCATCATTTAGACTCTGACGGTTATATATTAACTAATCGAAGTTTTTTGTGTACCATATTTTTACATCTCTTCTTATTCATCATGATGACCTATATTTTTGTTTACTTTGTTTTTTTCACACATTTACATATGTCAATCAGCTTTGTTTTAACTAACTAATAATTATGTATAGTCATTTTGGCAAAACTTTCGGTAAATCTATATATAATAGTTATGACTGAGTGAACCAATCTGATATAATATAGCCCCTCCTGGATTCGTGCCCGCAATTCAAAGCTCATTAAAAGATGATAACATGTGTCTTATTAAAAACTAAATGGAAATTATATTTGCCTAGTTCCTAAAAGTTCGATTGATAAAATGTCATTTGTACAGCGGCACTTTGTGTTTATGTGAAATGGTATGTAAATCAAACTTCGACAAACACCTGATTCATAGCGTGGTCAATAGTGTTTTTATGGATACAAATTATCCTAACATTCGTAACTGATATCTCTATCCAAACTCCTAATATACAAACCTAACCCTCTTTCGTCTCGTTTACTGTGATAAATAATCCAATATGTAAACGTTTGTGAAGATGTTTGGTTTCCAAGATTTTATACTATTATGTACTCTCCCTATACGCTAGTTCAACCTGCTATTCGAGCAAAAAACTGATATAGGGATTTTATTGACTAAGTAAGTCGTGCTGTATACGTGCTCATATATAAAAAGTCAATGACAGTGTAGGTCCCATTCCTAGAGTATATACCCTATTTCTTGGCCAATCCTGTGCATTTATCATTCGACCGATTTTTGATTGACCCAATCTATTAACGTTCATTAATCATGTGGAAACTTCACTTGTTGAGATTTATTATTTTTTGTTACATATCTTTATATAACCTAACATTGTTTCATGATTGACCGATAAGTCACTAAAGGTTGTCAGTGTTGTAGTTTACTTTTATCACACTTTTCTACACGTAAAATGTATATCTTTTTGTTACCTAATTGGACTTATCTTTCTTACTTGATAACAGATACTGCTATATTTGAAGGTATCGGAAACGATTACTTACCGACAACAAAGAAGCAATGCAAAAGTAACGATAGGATGGATTTACCATATGAGGATTCTAGAGTGTCGAATTCACGTAATCGTGTACCCGCTTCTAATACTACTACATCTGGTAGTAATAGTAACACCAATGCTGAATCAAATAGTGCACAAGCATCATACTTCGATATTCCTGCCAATGCTGATTCAGTCACAAATAATTCAATAAGTGCTACTAAAGAATTTTTAAATGAATTAAGTCAACGTTTTGATGTTAAAGATGAAAATAGGTTACAGGAAAAAGTAGGTTATATGCATATATGTATTTATTTATAAATGAGTAAATAAATCTTACGTAGGACTCAAGTAAATTAGACTGGGCAGTTGATTTCATTAATTTATTTAAACATATAAACATTTGTACAAGGAGGCACTAAATATATATGTGCCACGCAAATCAAATGATTTGCGTGAGGGCCGGGATACTGTCCGGGCGCCAAAACCGAAGCAGATGGTTTTCTTAGGGGTCCACTCCCCTAGTACTAGTATGCACAATGTTAACTAATCAGATTGTATACCTATTCATCGTTCCAACCAGAGATTATATGATGTGGTGATTAATTCTTGGTAAGGAATGTATTCACTTGAATAACTAGTTTCAAATCGGTTGATGAAAAGAAGGAAAGTTTACGGCGATATTTTAACTTCTCATAAAGCTCTGTGATAAGCATCACTAAAACATTCACCACCAAGAATATTTTGCTTACAAATAGAACCCGGAAATACTAGATGATAATTTCATCCTAGTGTAGGAATCCTCAGCAGTTCGTATCTGAAAATCGAACCCATGACCTCAGCCTCGCACGTGAACGCTAAACTCATAGATCATTGATCTTGCATCCTGTGGTATTAGCATTTAATTCTAATGAATTTATGATATTGCGTAACCTTCATTAATCGTTTGTGATGGATTACTGGCTAAGTAATAACATCGGTAAAATTCACTCGACACATAATCCAGTACGTGTTGATCAATTAGGGTCCTTAACGGGGTCAGTCAGCTACAACGTAGGACCAGGCACATATATGCATCGGTCCAAGTTGCCATACCGCATTAGCACAGCAAGATGAACACTAGATTCATAGACGTAGTTACTTCAATCGGGGTAATATATAGAAGAAAGAACGGGGTAAACACAAACTATTAGGGACTACAGTCAAAACAGCAATATTAGAAAATAATTAAAGTGTTCATCAACATGTTCAGACCTTACCATCATTGTTATCTTCTTATAACATCTCATATCAATAAGGAATGACACAATCACTAAGTTTATTTGAAGTTAACAATTCATGTTAGTCATCGCCAAATTAAATTCCGCCTGTAGCTCTTCTAAAGTTAATGACGGTCACAAGCCCGAGTAAAGGAGGAGGGTTGGGCATGAGGTCGGACACCCCATCCGGTAGAAAAATATCTGGCTAAAAAACACCAACCAGATTAAACAAATTAAACCATTTAAACTCTACCCTGGGAGTCGAAGGAAGAATTATGACGCCTCAGAATGAAAGACGAGGTTCTTCGGAAGTCACGAGGCCGATATCCCTTCTAACAATCAGATCAATAATAATTATCGGACGCCTAACAAAGACTCGTGAACTGCAAACACGAGAGAATCAAGCTGGCTTCAGACCTGGTCGTGGCTGCATCGACCACACATTCACCATTCGTCAGGTTCTAGAACACAGGCATACTTATCGGCGTCCGACAATGGTTGTCTTTCTTGACTTAAAAGCAGCATTTGACTCGGTAGACCGCGAGATTCTGTGGCAGTGTCTGTCAAGGTGTGGTGTTTGTCAAGGCTGTCCACTTTCTCCATTTCTGTTTAACTTCATCATAGACCTACTAATGGAAATAATGCTCTCGTCGACTGAATTCTCGGGTATTGATATCCTTCCAGGAGGTCCAATTATCGACTTAGTATATACAGATAACATAGTCCTGTTCGGTGAAGACGCTGATAAAATGAAAAGTCGTCTGGTAGGACTGAGGAACAATGCCAGAATATTTGGGATGCGCTTTTCTCCCTCTAAATGCAAGTTGTTGCTTCAGGACTGGCCTGCGTCAACACCTGAACTAAAGCAAGGGAATGAAGTAGTCGAATACGTTGACAACTTCACTTGTCTTGGAAGTCTGATCAGCCCTAGTAGGTTCGAGTCTGACGAAACCTCTGTACGGATTCAGAAAGCTCGTTTGGCTTTTGCCAACTTACATCACCTATGGCGAAGGCGAGATATCCGTCTATCAACTAAAGGACGAGTATACTGCGCGGCAGTTCGTCCTGTTTTAATTTACGGCAGCGAAACATGACCATTAAGGATAGAACACACCCGTAAGCTACTAGTATTTGATCACGGATGCCTTAGAAATATTGCTTGCATCTGCGGGGATCACTGGGTAAGTAATAGTGAGGTTAGACGTAGGGTATTAGGGAATGATGGTAAACCAGTTGATGAAGTTGTGGATTTTCGTCGACTGAGATGTTTGGGCCACGTGTTACGTATGCCTGAACACCGATTAACACGACGTGCAATTCTAACGGGTGTTAGAGATGGTTGGAAGAGAATTAGGGGCGGCCAAACCAAAACGTGGCATCAGTGCTTGAAGACACTAACCTCTAGTCTGAGCCATGTTGGTAGATGCAGAATACTTGGTTGGGGTCCGCGTGACTTTCGTAACCGATGGTTGGAGACTCTTGGTGACATGGCTCAGAACCGATCACAATTGCGTCTCTAGTTAAAGCGTGAGATTAAAATTAATTTATACCTTTCTGCGCACTAATTCTTTCTTCTTGTATTTTATCATTATACACAATCTTTCTTTTATATATTACTACCATTGAAGTAACTACCTCTATGAATTTCGTGTCCGTCTTGTTGTGCTAATGAGGTGTGGCAACTTGGACAGATGTGTATATGTGCCTAGTCCTACGTTGCAGCTGACTGACGTGCCTTAAACCTAACCAATTTTTTGGAGTATTAATTTAGATATGTAATTGTAGAACCCGAAGAAGGCTCATGGAAAAGAAAGTTCCTCGCTCGTATATCTACGTTTGAAGTTGTTTTGTTAAATAATTTAAATTGTTTTGTCTTACTATAAACCATATTATGTAGTTCCACCTATAAGTTTCTTGTAACTATCAACCTTCTCAACAAACGTTTTACGGTAAATTCAGTTTATTTCGAACCTAAGAGGATGTATGCTTCACTTGAGGGTTATATATATTAGTGTGGCGAATTTGAGGGGATTGTTAAGTTTTCAAAGTTTAAATCACGAACTGGTCTTAGCTAAACCATAATTGAAACTTGAAAGCACTGGATAGCTGTTTCAGCCTGTTATGGGACTAAGCGGTGCATATTCACGGGTTATCCGGCAGTCCGATCCTATGACCTTCGGTTTCTCGTGTGAAGCTTTGTATATATATACAACACCTATCATTTAAGAAATCGGTAAAACGGCATTTCCGGATAGTTAAAATCTGCGTGTGTAACGAAGATGATCAGTTGTGAACCATGTAAGCTAACTTATGAATGTTATTTATTTTCATGTTATTAGTATTAACGACCACAGCTGGTCAGTTTCTACGTGGGATGTGTGCATCCTGAGCAGATTGGACCGATAATGCTATTTAGTCGCAAGTTCTTATTATGGTTGAACAGTAGCTAGTAATGGAGTCCGCGACGAGCGTTTCGTTCTATTCAGGACGAAGGTGATGTAAGAAAGAAGATGTTAATCAACAAACATAATGAATCTGTACTGTCTGGAAGCCACAACTCATGATTGCACAATTATGTCCTTTTTTCATAAATTTATTTTTAGGCAAGTCTTGAACGATTCTTTGCTAAAACTCAAGTCACGTGTTACGATGAATGTTATCCCGGTTTCGCTGAATCATACGATGCTATGGGTGATTCTGATGATGAAGCTGATTTTAGCAAAATGGATTTAGGTAATAAAAAAGGTCCAGTTGGTCGATGGGACTTTGAAACACAGGAAGAATATAGTGATTATATGTCGAATAAAGAAGCTTTACCAAAAGCTGCATTTCAATATGGTGTTAAAATGGCTGATGGTCGTCGTACACGTCGTATTGGACCAAAAGATGAAAAAGCTGAATTAGATCGTCAATTACAAAAAATACAATCAATCATACAAAAGCGTAAACAATTAGCTGAAGATAGTGGTCCAGTAGGAAAAAATGTCCGATTTTAAAATTGCTATAATATACATGTACATTTATTTAACCTTTGGTTTTTAATTTGATTCTACATGAAATAACTTTTACATTCAGATATTTAGTTTATTTTTGCTTTTCGTCCGATTTTTTGTTAGATGTTTTAATCATTTAAATTAGATTATCGTCAAAATGAATTAGAAATAGTGCGTGAAAGTGATTACTCACTTCCTTTTTGTCAAATATATAGTTCTACTTATTTTCAACTTTTTATTAGATCTCTCAGTTCTCAAGGGTCGATGCGCTCATTCACTTTTTCAATCATACGTAGACGAAATGTTCCAAACTTAGGTTTTGCACTCATCAACAAGAAGTATTTACATTCTTGATACAACTGGGAATTATTGAACCTTGCCACCAATAAGCTAGTCTTTCCACAACTAGTAGGAATGAAATATTTACACTAATTGGCAAGAATTATTATCTTACATATATATTGAATAATGGCTAGCAGTGGAATTCAGTTCGACGCGCGTTTCGTCCTGTTTGGGACTCGTCAGCCAGATGTACCTGCATCCCAGAGTTGATATTCACTCTGGGACTCGAACCCAGTACCATTCGCTCCAAACGCTATCACGTTATCCACTTAGCTACTGAGTCCCAGTAGTCACTTGCTTGTGCAATGGCGTGAATTTCAATTCACTTGGTATTGTTTTGCTTGAATCTTCCCATTGAGGTTTAAGACTGCAATTGACCAGTCTGTTATTGGCATATGTGTATACTGTGCGTATTGTCTCGATATTGCCTTGATTCACAAGCTTTATAAACAATGATGGATAGTGGCTAGCAGTGGAATTCAGGACGCTAGCCACTATTCACACCCTTAATAATAACTAAATCTTTTGATCGAATCTGTTGTAAGGAATCTGTGAGGTGTGAGTTCCAGGACGTAATAACCAATGAAACTACGTGAACGTTATTCAAAAATATAATTATAACTAGGGAGAACTAAGATCTCTAGGCTTTCACACATTATGGTTATCTTAAACGGATTATTTGCTTCGCTATAAACAGATTTTTGGAGTAAGGACAATATTGAAGGTAGATAAATCTCAACAAATTGCGGCTGACAACTGGAACTTTTGTGAGATGTTTTTTGTCCCAAGAATGTTTGTGCACGTTCTTAGATGAAGCCGTAATATACCGGTTAGTATCATACCACAAGCAGAAAATGACTTGGCAACAGGTGAAATTTATTCTATAGAGAAGTGAGCATAATAACAGCGAGTTGATCTTTCACTCTTCCAATATGTCTATCCGGCTTCCTTTTATGGAATTATTTCCATTTTGTGGATTTAAATAAAGCCAAAACAGACATTGATGTTAGATAATATGAATTCATTATATTTCGTGATGTTCATCAGCTACTTGCAAATATATTTATAAACTTCGCTGGTCACTAACAAAGTCTGTTCTGCTTCTTGCCCTTCCGCTTTCCCTCTTTTTCATCACCCCTGTGGTATACCACCGGAAATATACACAGAACATATGACTTCGTCCTGCGACGTCGCTAATACTTCCGAAATTTATTTGGGAACACTATCATGAAGCACAAAATGACACGTTAAAGTTGACGTCTTTAGCTGATTGGTTATGCATTTAATGCATCATTTATTATGAACGGCTTTTGACTCTAATTGCATTCGTCCTCGACCACTGATTGCTTGCCGCAACATGTAAATAGCAATTCGATCAGTTTGCTAGAATAACCGTCAAAGTAAATTCCCCAATCAAATGCGTATGCATTCCCAGCTCACTAAGCTTCCAACTAACTCCGACTGTCCGATTAAAAACACTGAGCCAATAAATCGATAAGTCAATAATTTCGGATCAAAGGTAGTTTTTTATCCTACCATTTTGCTATTTGCACACTTCTCTCCTTACCTATAAGCGTTGTCCTCAAGCGCTTCCAATAACTTCCACAGAAACATTTTGTTTTTGAAATATTAGAACGAGAATCTGAAAGAAGTATGGAATATTTCGACGGGTACAGAACAAGAATCTAAAAGGAACGCCGAAATGAACAGACGTCTCGTAACACAAAACGTTAAAGATGCCTTCACACGTAACACCTTTATAATAGGAGTATAATAATCCAGTCGAATCAGAACTGAAGGGACTCGAAGATATATTTGAAAGACTATCGATGTGTGGAGCTTTTGCTGTAGTGTGGCTGACAGTTGGAAGGGATGTGTCATATTGCGTACCCACCGGTGGTATTGTGCAGATGCATGATCGCGTGGAGATAGTAACAACAAAATTATTTTGTGGTTAGTTCTTTGTATTATTTGCATTTCCTGTGTTAATTCTCACGATTCGTAGATTTACTACAAGTGATTGCAAAAGTTATTGAAAATTGCATGGCCTTGAATACTTCCTCTTCCTTTTTAAATACCACAGAACATGGCATACTGGTAACCGTTCATAGATACACTGCTACACTCACGCTCCTCTTTCCCAATTACCTTGTGGCAAGCCCATTTGGCCACTGTATCATCTGTCTATTCATTGTAACTTAGACTCGTAATTCACTATGTTAATTTCGGTGTGTATGATCGAATGCATGTCTGTACATTAACTTTTAAACTATTTTCCTATTGGTTTCAACGTGCAGATAATCGATAGTCTATCCACACCTGATTAACCCTCAAAAATATATATGGATTTTTAACAAACTCACTCTCTCTGTTCCCATCGTGTGCTTGCTCACAATACGCTTGTGGATTATCATTATTCATTAATAATAAACTATCTCCATAACTGGTGTTCAGGCTTCTTAATAATCTCGAGTAAATCCGTAATTCTACTAGGAGATTAAGCCTATCTTAAATACTCAGTTACGGAATATCATTATTTGGAGTCAGATATTAAGGACCTTACCCTTAACATATTGGTGACCCGCCTTTAGAACGCGCACCATTTTCCTCCAAAGTCTGCTGCATTCTCCTCAAGAGTATCATAAAGAACTTCATATTGGAATTATTATTATAATTAATAACAATCCATTGACAGTCATAATAAATTCACTCATAATATTTTCCCTTTGGAATTATTACTGTATATTCTCATACATATACCCAAAGTGACAATTTTTCTTTTCGGTGAGTCTTATATATATATTTTTTGTTGTTATTTTTGATTTCTCTTCATATTGTATATTACAATCCTCAGCTTATTATTACTATTGCTTTTTCGTATCATGGCACTTGATAATTCGTTAAGCCTTTCATCTAAATCTATTTCCGTGGGTGCCATCTCTGTACCTTTACCCATTTTTAATCCACGAAAGGCTGAACTCTGGTTTGCTCGTTTGGAAAGCTTTTTTGTTGCAAACAAAATCACAAACCAGAGTACGAAATTTAGTTATGCGAATTCACTGCTGCCAGATGACGTCATTGAACAAGTGCCGGATGTCATTTTTAAGCCGGATCCTGACTCACCATTCGATTGTCTAAAAAGAGAGGTCATTCGTGTCACATCTCTCACCGACCAACAGACAATTGATCAACTTTTAGCCAACGTAGAGCTAGGTGACAATACACCGTCACAGTTAAAACGCCACATGACAAACTTATTAGGAAATCGTACAGTAGACAAACGTCTACTATATCAATTGTGGCTCAGACGTCTCCCTCAAAACATTCAACAGATACTAGCAATTGGAGACGAAGACGTTGATTTTGATAGACTAGCAGACATAGCCGACAGAATTTACGAACGGTCCAAGACTCACCTTGTATCTCAAATCCAATCAAGCTCAGCTGACGAGATCGCCGAGTTACGACGATCAGTTGATACCCTTACGAAACAGATAGCTCAGATCCAATTATTGAATGCCTCCCACAGCAAGCGTAGAGGAACATCCACAAGCCGTAGACGACGTAGTCCAAGCACTACTAGACACAACATTTGCTGGTACCATAGAACATATGGCAAACAAGCTAGAAAATGTACTCCGCCTTGTAACTTTGCAAGCACACAGAAAAAGGAACGTCAAGACCGTAGGTTAATGACGACTGCACTCACTGACCACAACTTTCAAGACAGTCGTCTATTATATGTTACAGACAAAAGAACCGGCACACAGTTTTTAGTCGACACTGGGGCAGAGGTTAGTGTAGTACCACCTACTGCACTCGAGAAAAACACACCTGACTCCAAACTAAAACTACAAGCTGCAAACAGGTCTGACATCAAGACGTACGGAAAAAGGCGGTTGCAATTAAATTTCGGTCCTAAATCTAATTTTTCCTGGAGTTTCATCATAGCGGACGTCCTCGTTCCTATAATCGGCATTGATTTTCTGCAATTCCACAAAATACTGGTAGATGTCAGAAATAGGAAACTTGTCCTTGCCGAACAGAGTAAGGAAATTAGAGGAATTATATCAAATGAGACTTCCATACATTTATTAGTTAAACCTCATCATGAGAACGACAAATACGTCAATTTACTTAATCAGTTTCCAGATTTATTACGACCGAGTTTCAAACACGACAAACCGGCGCATACCGTCGTACACTACATAAAGACAGAGGGTCCACCTGTGTTCGCACGTCCAAGACGCCTTGATCCCTCTCGTCTGGCTATCGCAAAGAACGAATTCAACAAAATGATTGAGTTGGGCATCATACGCCCCTCCGATAGTCCGTGGGCATCACCGCTTCATATGGTACCTAAGAAAAACTCTTCCGAAGTTAGACCGTGCGGTGACTATAGAGCTCTCAACAGCCGGACCATACCAGATAGATATCCTCTCCCACATCTGCATGACTTCACTCATAGCCTATCTGACGTGTCGATCTTTTCAAAAATTGATCTCGTCCGTGCTTACCATCACATTCCAATTCATCCAGACGATGTTCCTAAAACAGCCATTACTACCCCCTTTGGACTATACGAATTCGTCCGCATGCCTTTCGGATTAAGGAATGCTGCACAAAGTTTCCAGCGTTTTATTGACCAAGTGGTACGGGGCTTACCGTTTGTGTATGCTTACATAGATGACCTACTTATAGCAAGCAAAGATGAAAATGAACATCTAACTCATCTGAAAATGCTTTTTGAGAAGCTAAACGAGTATGGGTTAGCGGTCAATCCTGACAAATGTGAGTTCGGAAAACAATCCCTCACCTTTTTAGGTCACGTACTTGATAAGCAAGGCATTAAACCAGTTCCTGAGGAAACACAAGCTATCAAAAATTATCCTTTGCCTGATTCATTCAAGAAACTACGACGTTTCCTTGGGATGATCAACTTTTACAGACGTTTTATCCCTAAATGTGCAGACTTAGCAAAACCACTAACTGATTTATTAAGGGGACGAGCTAAATCATTAGCAATGACACCGCAAGCAATTCAAGCATTTGATCAGTTGAAAAGCGCTTTAAGCACAGAGGCATTACTCGCACGACGAAAGGTTGATGCACCTTTAGCAATAATGACCGACGCTTCTAACGTAGCAGTAGGTGCTGTACTCCAGCAACGTGTCAATGAACAATGGCAACCCCTTGCATTTTTCTCAAAAAAGCTCAACGCAACGCAAACGAAATATAGCACATTCGGTAGAGAACTGTTGGCTATCTACTTAGCCATCAAACACTTTCGCTACATGTTAGAAGGCAATTCTTTCACGATATATACTGATCACAAACCCCTAACTAAGTCCTTGATGCACAATCATGATAAATATAGTCCGCGCGAAATTCGTCAACTAGAATTCATTTCACAATTTGCAGCTGATATACGCTATATTAAAGGCAATGCAAACGAGGCAGCAGATGCACTATCGAGATTAAATATCAATACCTTCTCGATCCCTGATATAGACTATCAAGAAATGGCAAAGCATCAAAAGCTCGATACGGAGCTACAAAAACTTTTGCAATCTAAGGAAACGAAATTATTATTCCAAAACATCCCCATAAACAACAAGGACACCTTAACTTGTGATAACTCAACAGGTAAAACTCGCCCTTTTGTACCTTTCGGTATGAGGCGAAATATTTTTGAGAAAAAACAGACAACTGTAAAACCATCTAAACCTGCAGCAGAGCAAGCACCATTCAAACTACCTGCAACAAGCAACACTTCAAATCGAAATTCAGCAGCAGCACAAACTACAACAAGATCAGGAAGGAGAGTACATTGGCCAGATAGGTATGTAGCAACCACCATATTTATCTAGACCAAATCCTGAGACTACTCTTATAACACATAAAAATCCTATTTTATTTTGATTACTATTTTTTTTATTGGCCCCACGGATCATCATTATGCTTACATTTTAACTTTATACAATTCATTAATGTTAAATATACACTTGTATATACATGATATGAAACGTTTCAACACACAAGCTGTTATTACAGTTTTACGCTTACTCATCATATTGAGTTGTACTTTTATTTTAAAAACAGTTCCGTTCTTTATCTCTTTGTCGAACATAGATGTTAATCCAATTTTTTTTTGGTACATAAAAACATCAATGTTCTGGATGGGAGCTTATGTGGCAAGCCCATTTGGCCACTGTATCATCTGTCTATTCATTGTAACTTAGACTCGTAATTCACTATGTTAATTTCGGTGTGTATGATCGAATGCATGTCTGTACATTAACTTTTAAACTATTTTCCTATTGGTTTCAACGTGCAGATAATCGATAGTCTATCCACACCTGATTAACCCTCAAATATATATGGATTTTTAACAAACTCACTCTCTCTGTTCCCATCGTGTGCTTGCTCACAATACGCTTGTGGATTATCATTATTCATTAATAATAAACTATCTCCATAACTGGTGTTCAGGCTTCTTAATAATCTCGAGTAAATCCGTAATTCTACTAGGAGATTAAGCCTATCTTAAATACTCAGTTACGGAATATCATTATTTGGAGTCAGATATTAAGGACCTTACCCTCAACAACCTATTGTTACAACAACTTAACCCTAAAATATCTATTATCTTCATTTATAGACCACAACCATATTTCCATTATATACTCCATTCGGATATACGCTCGAATTATAACAATATTCATTGGGATCATTGATTACCTATAATTGCAGATTTTTATATCAAATGCATCTCGAACACTCCAAGGCCTGACAATTTAAGTAACGTCCTCTAGAGTTTATGAATTATACTTAATATATTAGTACATTAATTTTTGGGGACAATAACTTTATTATCATCTTTTGAGTTAATACAATATTTGATCCACCACAATAATCTGGTGAACCCGACGTTTTTTCTGTTTGTCACATAGTTTATTTTTACCTGGATCTCAAGTTTATTTTTCAAATGATTTAATCTTCTAATGACCTTTGTGATACTGTGGGTACCCATTTAAATACTCATGTAGCGGTAAATAAATCCCCAAGATAAATAGCTCTGTAAGTTTTCAACATTAGATGCTGACTATATGTTTTAGTGGATTCATCTAGCTGAAGGTGCTCGGTCATTCATCCGCACCAGATCACGTGTGGTAACGCTGTGCTCAACACCTACCGCAATCGCTAGCCAGATTGAATCAGAGAATTCCGATATATTAGTTATCGCCAAATACACTCTTCCGATCTCATCGACTCTGTCTTTTGATTTCTCTTGGTGGGTACGAATTATATTATGAGGTGTTGCTGGTAAAAGCGTTGCCAAACATTGAATACCTGTGCCATCTTCATTGGTGCGGCCGACGTGATCTGGTACACCTAATTGCAACTGTGAGTCTGTTCCTTTTTGGGATTTTTATATATTATTGCCTTATTTTTTTAATTTTTATACATGGTGATATTTTTCCCCGTGTCTCAGGATATCTATATATTTTTCCCTCGTATTCTCGTACTTAATATTCCCCTATGATCGAACAGACTCCTAAGGTATTTAAGATTAAGACCATGTCCCCACCCTCGTTCCAACTCATGCCCTTCTGGCCTGACAATATCGAAGCCTGGTTCTGCTACGCAGAAGCCGACTTCCACGATCACGGCGTGAACGACATACGTGCACAATTCCACGCAGTAGTCAAGGCACTACCGCGGGGATTCAACAGGTACTTTTTTACTTTATGTAAATGAATTGCCAACCGTAGCAAAATCATCCGTTCTACTCTTCGCCGATGACATAAAGATTTGGAGACCCATACATAGTATGTCGGATAGAATAGTATTACAGGACGATCTTAGCTCATTGGTGGCATGGTTAGACAGGTGGTCACTAGAAGTAAATCCTAATAAGAGTGCAGTAATGCAGCTAAAAAAACTGATGAATCGTATGACTATACACTACGTGGATTGGTGCTACCCAAAGCAAGAAACTATAAAGATTTAGGAGTCATATTAAGCAATGATCTCAAAACCACTAGTCACTGTAAGGCTGATGATGCAAAAGGCTATAGGGTATTATGGTCAATTCGTAGGTCTTTCCAGTATTTAGATGATGAAGTGTTTAGATTAATATACCCGATTTATGTGCAACCACATTTAAAATACGGGATTCAAGCAGCGTGTCCTTGTTTCAAGTATGAAGCAGATATACTAGAAGGAGTGCAACGAAGAGCTACTAAGGTGGAACAAGGTCTATTTGGCCTATCTTATGAAGACAGACTGAAACACCTTAACTTATTGTAACGGAAAAAGAACAGTGAAAATCCCTCTGCAGCTTCTTTGTTGAACAGTATTTTCATTTATTTGTTCCTTCTCTCTTTTGTGTATTCCAACCTTTGTTTCGACCTCGTTTAACCATGTCTTTTGTTCTTCAGTCTTCCCCGTTTGAGCCTTTATTATGTGACTTTGATTAAAGACTTATTTTTGTTACCTAATTTTCTATTGCATGTTGCCGGACCATTGACAGTAAGGTTGTGTTTGACTAAGCTCAAGGTCACGGCGTGGTTCATTTTGTGACTGTTAACCCTCTGACTGTCTGCTTGGGAGAATTGCTGCAATCCCTGCAGATAGATATTTGATCCCATCTTATTGGGAATATTTGTATTGATTCTCAGGTATCAAACCCTTTAGTATTAACTGTCTCTTTCATTGTTTAGCGCGCTACTTAGCGTTAGAGAAACTTCTGACTGTATAGCACAGGCTGTACCGTTTGAGGTATTTTGTATTTTTGATGTAATTTGTTCTGTTTTCTTAATTAGAACCGTTTATATTGAGCACAGAGTTTGTGTTTTGATATAATATAATACGAGTATCTCAAAGACGCGTTGTGAGCTATACAGAGGAACTTGGTCTGGTCTAATCGAATAAATTTTGGGTTCGTCAGTCCGTTGTTCCAACCGAATATTGGCTGTTCGGTCGTTACAGTTCTCAAACGAACAGTAATCTCAAGTGACAAACTCTGGAATGCCTGGAAAGCACAATAAGGTCAACGAAAACTTGGCATTGGGCCACGGAGAAATGCAATCGGATACACCTCCAGATGTACGGCAAGTCAAATTAGATGCATTTTCATGTCATGGCTCTAATGTTAGTTTATTAAGTAAACGTAGTAAAGTTAGCTCTAGGATTACCTTAGCAGAGTTAAAAGAAAGGCAATTATTAGAAATGAGGGACTTGAAAGATAGACAGAGGAAACAACTACTGTGCTTTCAGAGAGAGTTTGGGTCGTTAAGGCTGAACAAAAGCACGTGTAGCAAATTATCTTCTGTTTCTAACTGTGATGACAGAGAAAAGGAGCACGTTCACAGGTTCGTAAGTCCTTCTCATGACCTTAGGATAAAGTCTCTAGAAAAGTCAAAACTGTTAGATTATCCAGGAACGAAGGAGAAAGTGACCTTGGAATCTCTAAGTGTAGGTCATGAACTTCCAACAGTAGAGCACGATGCCTACTTCGATGAAAGTTATAATATTGTTCCTTTACCTAGAGGAGTGGCTGAGGAAGACATTGCTACCCCTGTTATTGGCAATGAGTCTGGTATGTGTAAAGCTGGCTTCACCAAAAATGATGCTCCCATAGCCGTATTGCTCTCTATTGTTGGAAGAACTAGACAACAAGTGACTGTGGAAATGGATGGAAAGGACAGTCATGTGGGAGACGATGCTCGACCGAAACGTGTTATCCTGACACTGAAGTACCGAATTGAACATGGTATTGCGACTAAGTGGGGTGATATGGAGAAGATGTGGTACCACACATTCTACAAAGGGTTGCGAGTGATAACAGAGAAACATCCGGGGTTGTTGAGAGCAGTTTCATTGAACCCGAAGGCAAACCATAAGATGACAAGGATCATGTTTGAGAGTTTTAATACACCAGGTACGTGTGCTGCTACTCAAACGGTGTTGTCACTATGTACACTATGTACAACTGGTATAGTGTTGAACTTAGGTGGCGGTGTGACCCACACAGTTCCGATTTATGAAGATTATGCGTTGCCTTATACTGTTTTGCAATTGGACTTTGCTGGTAGAGTTCTTGCCGACTTTAGGATGAAGATCCTGGCTAAGACAGTCTGCAGTTCCTCTGTCTATTCGTGGAACATACTCAGGCGCAAACCACCGGACATCGTTTTACTCTATAGTAAGTCTAGAGTGGCACCTATAAAACAGGCAACTGTGCCTAGACTGGAACTAACAGCGGCAGTATTGAGTGCTAGAATGGGGGAAGTTTTAAATAAGAACCTTCCTCATGTGTTTGACAAGACTCACTTCTCGATGGATTCTATGATAGCACTGTACTATATAAAAAATACAGATAGTAGGTATTCCACCTTCGTGGCTAATCGTCTGGCCGCTATTCGTCATTTAACATCTGTGGACCAGTGGGGGCACGTAGAATCCCATGAAAATCCTGCTGACTGGACATCACGAGGCATACGGAAGGAGCTAGATTTAAAGAACTGGATTGAGGGTCCTTCCTTCTTATGGAAGAAAGAGTCTGTAGGAACACTGACGCTTATGTGCGAAAACCCCCCGGAAAATGTTGAATTTAAAAGATGCCACACGACCAACGCAGTTGCGCTAAAACATAGCTCAAGTCCAATTCTGCTATATCACTCAAATTGGATAAAGCTGATTAAAGCGGTAGCATGGCTCAGAAGATACGTGATCTATGTAACCATCATGTACTCCCATCACGATGACAGGTCCCTAAGTGTGGGCTATCTGTCAGTTGATAAATTGGATGCAGCTAAACACAAGGTATTAGCCTTAGTGCAAAAGGGAGTGTATGGGGAAGCAGTTAAAGTGTCTCGATATAGTGGCGTAAGCGCAACTGTTATAAAAGAGCTAAAAAATCTTTCACCTACGCTAATCGATGGATTGCTTTGTGTCGGCGGACGATTAAATTACTCGGATTATCCACTCTCAATCAGACATCCGGCAATTTCACCCAGTCATCACTTCGTAACAGAACTTATTATTAGACACCATCATCACCTAGAAGGTCACACCGGGACATCACAAGTGTTAGCTACCATACCACGAAATTATTGGATTGTTAAAGGAACCAGTGCAGTTAAACGAGTGATAGGTAGATGTGTGAGGTGTATACGCGCGAAGGCCACATTAGGCCAACAGATGATGGCACCTCTCCCCAAGTGTCGAGTGCAGCAAGGCTGGTTTTGCTTCTCCTCCGTCGGGATAGACTATTTTGGGCCGTTGATAGTGCGTCGGAGAAGAAGTGAGGAAAAAAGATATGGATGCCTATTCACGTGTCTCCAAACACGTGCCGTACATTTGGAAGTAGCTTTCAATTTGAGTACTGATGCTTTTATAATGGCTTTAATACGTTTCATAGGAAGGAGAGGAACTCCTAATGAAATCTATAGCGACAATGGAACTAACTTTGTCGGGGCCACTTCCGAATTACGGGCTAATATGAGTGTGTGGAACAAGCATAGAATAAACGACTTAACAGTATCGAAGGGTATACGCTGGCATTTCAACCCCCCACTAACTAGCCATCGGGGCGGAGTTTGGGAGAGGTTAATACGGTCTGTTCGTGGGATCTTACTATTTATTTCCAACGGGCAAATATTACACGATGATAGTTTGGCAACTTATTTTGTGGAGGTAGAATGAATTTTAAACAACCGCCCAATCGTTCCTGCGACGTCAGATGAAAAGGATGATTTGGTGCTCACGCCAAACACTTTGTTATTACTAAGAGACAGTGATGGTGCGAATGAGAGGTGTAGTAAGAAGAGATGTGCGAAAGCTCTGCCTTCTAGAGGGAGCCGAGTAATTGTGGATTGTAGCTTAGGTTTATGGATGTACAGGCGTACTGTTGTAAGTCCTGTGCCTCCCATTGATATAGAGCAGTTAGTAAGGAGAGCCATGACAGAAATGTATTCTAAGGTGTCTTTGCGTAGCTGGAGGGATTTTGGGGGCCGGTGTAACGGAAAAAGAACAGTGAAAATCCCTCTGCAGCTTCTTTGTTGAACAGTATTTTCATTTATTTGTTCCTTCTCTCTTTTGTGTATTCCAACCTTTGTTTCGACCTCGTTTAACCATGTCTTTTGTTCTTCAGTCTTCCCCGTTTGAGCCTTTATTATGTGACTTTGATTAAAGACTTATTTTTGTTACCTAATTTTCTATTGCATGTTGCCGGACCATTGACAGTAAGGTTGTGTTTGACTAAGCTCAAGGTCACGGCGTGGTTCATTTTGTGACTGTTAACCCTCTGACTGTCTGCTTGGGAGAATTGCTGCAATCCCTGCAGATAGATATTTGATCCCATCTTATTGGGAATATTTGTATTGATTCTCAGGTATCAAACCCTTTAGTATTAACTGTCTCTTTCATTGTTTAGCGCGCTACTTAGCGTTAGAGAAACTTCTGACTGTATAGCACAGGCTGTACCGTTTGAGGTATTTTGTATTTTTGATGTAATTTGTTCTGTTTTCTTAATTAGAACCGTTTATATTGAGCACAGAGTTTGTGTTTTGATATAATATAATACGAGTATCTCAAAGACGCGTTGTGAGCTATACAGAGGAACTTGGTCTGGTCTAATCGAATAAATTTTGGGTTCGTCAGTCCGTTGTTCCAACCGAATATTGGCTGTTCGGTCGTTACACTTATTTCCGCTATCTTACCGTAGAATACAGGGTGATCTAATATTGGCCTATCGTATACTTGTGGTGCGTGCTACTTATATTGATATAAGTAGTATATAACGTGAGTTAAAAGGACGTAATGTCTGGCAGCAGAAGATGGAGAAGATCAAGAAAGGAAGAGCGAGAACACAATGGAATTTGTAAGAAATCGCATGAACAATGAAATGTGAGACAATGGATTGAGGTTTGCAACAGCAACAGTCCGGTTTGATATGATGGAATGAGATTTTACAGATTAATGATTTACTATATGGTTTTTCTATTTTACCAAGTAATTCTGTAATTTGTGCTAAATACAATTTGGTTGTCCTCACCCGTGTTCTCCTTCACAACATTTAGTGTCGCTGCCTCCACTAAGGATGAAGGTTCCATGGCAGAAGGAGTTTGAGGACGGAGACGTACTGAGCTTCCTGAAGGAGTTCGAAGCCGTGGCGGAGCTGCTGGGAATGAAGGAGCCGAAGGCGAGGTTGGTGGTGTTGGGGATGCTGCTGAGAGGCAGGGCGAAGGCTGTGTATGACAGCTTGGACGGTGCTGGCGGGAAGACCACATGGGAGACAGTCACGGAGCGGTTGGCGGCGGAGTTCGACAGCCCAGTGAACAGAGAGGACGCGCTGAAGAAGTTTTGGTTGGCGAGGTTGCCGGTCGATGGTGACCCACTGTGCTGGCTGTGGAGCTTACCAGATTGTTACGCCGTGCGCTGCCGAGTCTGGATGAGGAGTCGGAGGCACAGTTGTTGGCGTCACAGTTTATCGAGAGTGTGCCTGCCACCGTCTCCCAACAGCTGAAACTGGTGAACGTAGCGCAACCGATGGATATCAGTGAACTGGCGAAGGTGACTCGTCAGCTGATGACGCGAACAATAGCTCCGGTCGGGTGCGAAAAGCAGGAGATGAGTAATGTCGAGTAGAAGATTGAGGAGTTGGAGCGCGAGATTGCACCAATACGAGTGAACCATAAAAGGAACGATAAATGTTACGCTTGTGGAGGGACAGGACATTAGAAGATAAACTGTCCAACAAGACGAAGACGCAGATATGTTAAACGTTACAACGAGTGTTCTTTCTATCCTAGGAATCTGGGGATTGTTGCGTTAGTAGACAGAGGGGCAGTATATACGAGAGTGAACATAAATGAGCGAGATTTAGTTTGTCTGATCGATACAGGTGCAGCAGTATCGTTAATAGGCAAAGAGCAATGTAAGAGAATCAAGCCGTGTACATTAGCTGTCCACACGATAGGGGGCCATATGTTAGAGGTGTTTGGCGTATCTAACAGTAACGTAAAAGTGGGAGATGGCGAGGTAAATTTTCCGTTCGTGGTAACCACAAGCTTATCGAGACCGATATTAGGAGCAGATTTCCTAAGAGAAGTAAAAGCGATAGTTGACTTAAGAAGCGGTAAGGTGGTCACGAAATATGGTTCATTGACAATACATGAAAGTAGCGAAGTGGCTGAAATAAGAGTTGCAGCGGATGTCTCGTCAAAGAAACTAAACATTCACGAGTTATGCAAAAAGTATGCGAAACTGTTCGCTGGAGATGGGGAGCCGTATGGATTTTGTGACAGAGTAAAGCACGAAATCCCGATAAAGAACAGTCGAGTAAAGGTATTTGCAACACGTCGTGTCCCGGTGCATTTAGAGGCTGAAGTAAATCGTCAGGTCCAGGAAATGTTGAAAGAAGGTATAATTGAGGAAGCGGACAGCCCATATAGCTCACCGGTACTCTTGGTAAAGAAACCAAAAGGGAAGTATAGATTTTGTGTCGACTTCAGAGAATTGAATAATATAACAGACCTGAAACCTTGTGCAATGCCAACAGTGGTGGAAACATTAGATCGGCTACAGAATGCCACGGTGTTTACAGTGCTGGATTTACGGTCAGGTTATTGGCAACTACCTATAAAACAGAGTGATCGAAGCAAGACAGCGTTTACTGTACGTGATAAACAGTATCAATTTAAACGAATGCCGTTCGGGTTGGCGGGTGCGCCGTTCACGTTCAGAAAATTAATGACACTACTGCTCAAGAATCTAGATAATGTCGAGGTATATGGCGACGATGTAGTTGTGTACAGTCAAACAGAAACAGATCACATCAAGCATGTGGAAGCGGTCTTAAAGCGAATTGACGAATTTGGACTTCGGATTAATAAGGACAAGTCGCAGATAGCGAGAAGTAGCGTCACATTGTTGGGACATAAAGTGGGAAATGGAGAAATAAAACCGTTGTCGGAGAAAATTCTTACGATAAAAAATATTGCAGTACCTAATTCGAAAAGGAAGTTGAGACAGTTCCTGGGAAGAGCGGCGTTCTACAGTCGGTTTGTCAAGAATTTCAACGAAATATCAGCACCCTTATATAAGTTATTGAGCAGCACCAAGTTTACGTGGACTGAGACTGCCGAACAAACGTTCAACCGAATCAAAAACATGCTAGACGATCGCCAGATGACGCTCAGACTGCCTGAACCGGGAAGACTGTTTACAGTGGCCACAGACGCGAGTGACCATGGCATAGGTGCTGTGTTGAGTCAGGCTGATAGAGTGGTGGAATACGCGAGTCGCGTCCTCACACCTGCTGAACAGAAGTATTCAACCATCGAAAAGGAGTGTTTAGCGATCGTGTGGGCAGTGAAAAAGTGGAGACCGTACCTTTTAGGTAGACGATTTCACATTGAGACCGACCATAAACCCCTGCAGTGGTTGAAAACAGCAAGAGACCCCCGAGGGAAGTTGGCGCGATGGATGATACGCCTACAAGAATACGACTTCAGTATCGGCCATGTTCCAGGAAAAGAAAACGTAATGGCGGATTACTTGTCAAGACCAGACATGGAAGCCGACCTGCCATTAACAGCATACGCGGTGAATAGTTTAGAGGGACACCCATTAGAACTCGTCCGGCAGCAGAAAGCTGACCCTAACCTTCGAGAGGTAATCAGAGTGATAAAAGAGGGAGCAGACGTAGATAAACGAACAATGGACAAGGAGGTAATAACGCTGCTTCGGCAAAAGGATCGACTGAGAGTGAACTCATATGGAGTGCTGACCTGGCAGGACGATGATGAAAATTGGGTGGCGGTGATCCCGAAAGACTGGCGGCGTAAAGTGATACACGAGTGTCACCAGGTAGCACACACAGGCATCGCAAGAACGACGGACTTACTACGACAAAGTGCATAATGGCCGAGCATGAGAGACGATGTGGCTGAATACGTGTTAACCTGCCAGCAGTGTCAGCTAATGAAAAACGATCGGTACACACAACCGCCATTACAGTCAATCCCAGTAACCGCAGTCGGTGATCTATGGTCGGTGGATGTAATGGGACCGTTTCCACAGACGGCGAGCGGTAACCAGTACCTGTTAGTGATGACGGAACATGCTACACGTTGGGTAGATGCCGTACCCATTGCAGACCAGCGGGCAAGGACAGTGACTGAGGTGGTAATCCGGCATATTGTAGCGTGTCACGGAATACCCAAGATGATATTAACTGACCAGGGTCCCTGTTTTGAAAGTGACGAGTTTAAAGCCCGTTTAAAGCAGTTTGGTATCAAGAGAATACGAACTACACCGTATCATCCTCAGACAAACGGGCTTACAGAGAGAAACAATCGGACGTTAAAGGAATGGTTAGCATCAAGAGGAGGAAATTGGGAGAAAGAGTTACCATTGATTTTGCTGGCACATCGTTCCTCCACACAAGGAACAACCAAGAAGTCACCTTTCTTGATCATGTATGGCAGACAACCACGACTTCCAATGCACAATAAGACTTGGCCACAACAGAAGTGGACGACAACAAGGTTAAGAAAAGAGAGGAGAGAAGCAATAAGGAACGTGGAATATCAGACACAAAGAAGGCGGAACAACAGAGGAGAACGTGGAAACCCTTTGCAGTGGGGGACTTAGTAAAGTGTAGAGAACG